ATAACAGGACGTGTTAATATTTTTTTTTTATTATACATACAAAACTAGTTTCGACCAATCTGTAAATTATAACATATTTAATGTACGTGTTCCTCCATGCGTTTTGATAAATGTTTAGAAGCAGCTTGTGATGATGGAGGAATTTTCTCTATAAGAACGGAAGACACGTGCTCAGCTTTGCACTAAACAAAACAGGCAAAAACTTTTAAATGCATGTTTGAAAACAAAACAAAAAATCCTAAAGTGAACGCTGTCACGGATGTTGATGTGCATGTGAACTATCTATAATTCATTCCAAGGATAAAGCTCAGTAGGAAAAAAAACTTAGTTTGTGATTAGCAAAATACGAAATTAAAGATAAATATTAGGTAAATACAAAATACCATGTAAGGTAATTTACAATGAAGTTAAAATCCATTATTACGGGACAACAATTATCTACATGGAAACAAGTTTCAACACTGTCACGTGTTCACTTCATTCCAATTTTGGAACAAAGAGGACACGTGTGTCTTTATAATAAATGTGTGGTTTTATTGTGCAACACGTGCAAAGTTTACGTGGACAAAAATATATTTAATTTTGTATTCAATAACCATTCTCCTTTGTTTCTTTCTTCGTGACATCGTGATTATGACTACAACTGGTAGTTTGTGACAGCTATTGATATTTACTAAATCTACTCATGCAATTCTCGTGAAAATAGTTCTATTACAAGCTGGAGGTGTGCCGCTCGAATGCTATTGTTAATATATTGTGTAACGAGAATGTATGATTGAATACCTCTGAAATAGTGTGATGAACATAACCGAACATGCTTACATTCAGACTGACAAGTTTGTAATTTTCAACTGTAAAAGTACAATATTGAATTGTAGGAAGATAATATTTTAAAGACTTCTTTAGGTTGCATTATAATCTAAACCCTAACTGAGGTACAATTTATTAGATTACATCTATGTCCCTAAACAATTCCTTAACTGAAACACAACGCTTCTCTGTCCCCTGAAAAAGAAAGCTCACAAACTGTAAGTTTTGTGCAAATATTTACTCAACTAAACATTTATGTGTAACTGAAATAAAACTTTCAAGTGTAAAATATTAAGTCAAAAACTTGACAGTTGGAAGCTTACTTTTCCAAAACAGGTCCGAAAGCCGCCTGGAGGGGTCACCTGTTTTAACCACTCGCACCACTATACAGTAGTGTGTTGTCTGTTAGTCAGTCATTAGACTATAAAATGACGTCACATAAAGGATGCTCAACGTTGCAATTTGTACTGTCGTGACGTCAGTAAAACGTTCCCATGTCATGAATCACGAGAAAAATTATGCACTCTGTAGGTTACAACACAGCATGACATATGAATCTCAAAAGCAAGAAATAAAAATATTTGTTACTCTTAATTTTGGTTTTATTTAATCTTGAAACAGAACACTCTCGGGAATCCAGCGGAAGTACAACTAGTCCTAAAGTTGTTACTTTTGCTTAAAGCTCGAATGACGGAGTAAATGATACTTTTAAAAACAGAGACACTATACAATCAGACATATTTGATTATATCTTCTAAATCCTACTCTGCTATTTTGTTCTTGAAATGTCCAGTAGTAGGAAACAATATAGTTTACTAGGTAAATAAATATAATAAATGTTTTGGTTTAGCTATGTCAGATAATGGTTCTGGTGTGCAGCATTTACAGCATATAAAAGCGTGGATTCATTTGGGTTTATAAAAACAAAATTGTTAATTAATATGTCATTTTATTACATCAAGGTTTACTAAGTAGATACACACATATTGTATGACAATCGATATTAACAAACACCTCAGATTAATATAACAGCTTGTGCTATAAACCTCATCCTCAGGGATCTTTTATAAGGTGTAAGTAAAAGTTGTCTAGTAACTTGAGTAATATAGCCTAACGACAGATCCAATTAAAGCACTAATTTAAAAATAAATAGAAATACATAACACGAACTTCTCAGTTTAAAGTCATATTTATGACTAATGTGTTGTTTGTTTCATAATATTTGCGCAAACTTACACATAGGGTTGGCTATCCACGCATAGCCGTCCTTAATTTTGAACTGATAGATTACAGGAAAGGCAACTAGTCAACACCACAAACTACTAACTTCTAGACTACTTTTTGTCTGACCGAATACTGGGATTGGACCGTCACTTTTACAGCGAGTCAACAGAGTGCGTTTTTTGCAGTAATTATCAGATGCACAGTCTGAGTACGCTAAAAATTAGACCACACCTGGTCCATCACTGTTGTATGAAAACAAACACAATCAACGTGCAGCTCCAGACGTCATATCAACTTAATTAAATAAGAACTTTTTGTCCCAAAACGTCATTATTTTGAACTGGACGTAATTTGAAACAATTACTAGTGTTAACCAAAGTTAATGTTGATCAACAAGTGAAGAACAAGTGAAGAACTTAACCACAAAAGAGAAAGTAAAAACAAATAACCTCCACCGAGCATACGAGGCATGCAGCAGGGAATTGAAATGATTTATTTTTTGTTGTTAAGTACAAAGCTACACAATGGGCTATATATGCTGTATTTATTGCAGGGATCGGGCCCCGAATTTTAGAGTTATAAACCCTCGAGTTATCGTTGAGTTATTGGAACGTGAATCGAAATGGATTTCAACAACTCCTTATTTCGTGTGTTTTAATGCCGAACTAGCAGACAATACACAGCATTTCTCGTCTCGGTACAATGGTTTGTGGCACCTTTAATATTATAACTGATATACTTGGTGGATCTTCAGGTGACTTGGATATTGAGTTGGGGAGGTTATCACTTGCTCTATAAAAATAATTGTTTTACCAAGAATATATTTCTAAATGATTTCCTTGTTGGGATACCAGTGAAAGTTGACTATGTTTCTATAAGTACATCTTATCTGTTTGTCAAGACTCGTTGAAATAACGCATATTGTCAGTTTTAGTGAGTACTTAACAAGACTTGCTTTTTGTTGTACCCAAGTAAGCGTTAGCGTCTTATGTTTTTACTTATTTATTCTTCAAAGGTAATTCGTCACTATTGCGATTTTGGTTTTCTTTGAGTTAACTGTAAATTATCAGCCAATCAAAGCATATACATTATTTTATTTCTGCGGAGGTAACATAGAAGTGTGTAAGTTTCGAAATAAGTTTAAACTTTCGTTGACCCTACATTTAATCACTTGTGATAAACTTTCTAGCTTGTAGTTGAATAATTATACAACCTAAACCTTACTAAGGCCATATATTGGGCTGTAGAGTTGTTATCCTCTGTACAGTGTGATATAAAACTGACCTTTTTACGATTCGCATTATGTTTTTTAACTCTTTCTCGACGTAGAAAATAAACTGAGACAACGTTCACGGAAGAAACAACAAAAAGTTTAAACACTATGATAGAAATGATAACACTCTTATTTTTACATATTTAAAGTATATTTGTCATGAAATAGCCGCTTATAAAAATAATTTTGACGAAGTTTCTTGTTTGAAATATCCTCATGAAAATGCCTAATTATACGTTCAACAATCGCTTACGTTTGTATCTAAGAGAAAAATTCCAGATCATGCTTGTGAATTTCGATACATACAAATATTTCAAAGGATATTTCAAGTATTTGAAGCTATTTTGTTCTTTTTAAAAAAAAATAGGGCTAGCTTCATTTCTTTCAATTATTATTCCACTGATTCTGCAGTTTGTGACACACATTTTGCTTCTAAATACAATTATCTCCACTAACATATAATTTTAATTTCTAAAGTGAATCATGGATCTTCCTCACCTGTTTTTGTCCAATAACATATTCCTGTTAGACCTATTATTTCACAGTCGGAGAAAACGTGGTGACATTCCACTCGCTAATACATGACGTTACTTAGACTAAAGCTGGAGACACAACTAGGAAGAATACAACAACTTCTCGAAGTAAATTCTCCCAAAGTGCATTTACTTTCTTGAAAAGGTGAGTTTCTCTAAGATGCTAAGTTTATTCAAGATCCACACATTGAGTAAAATAAAAATAAACCATCAATGAATTTCAACTGCTTTAAACTCTCTAAATTTACTCAAACTAATTCTATCTTCGTATGTATTAACCTCAGGCGAACTGACACTAATGCGATTTAATTCATTTTAAGCCTAATATTACTAATCCTTCGTTTGGACCTAAAACTCTTTTGCGCATTATATCTATTGCTGTAGAAAAAATAAGTTTTATTATAGTGAAATAGAAAAAAGACGATTCAGTTTATGTTTGACATTATGTGAAATATAAGTCCAATAGTTAACGGTGATGTCGCAGTTTTCGATTACGTCTTACATAAAATTCAAACTGAGCCGCTGAAATTATAAATTGTTTTAATATCAAAAACAAAAATCACTAGTGGGTTTGTTTGCTTCTTTGTTTGAAGTTAAGCTCAAAACTACACTATGGGCTATCTGTGCTCTGCCCACCACGGGTATCGAAACCCAGATTCTAGCGCTGTAAGTCCGCAGCCATGCCGCTGTGCCACTGGAGAGCTTACTAGTGGGTTAGGATAGCGGAACAGGTAATGCTGAAGGGCGCATGATTCGATTGGTCGTTGTGTGGCCAAGTGACAAGATAATGATAACAGTGAGTGCATGAAGCGCGTCTGGCTTCGCCTATATCTATCTATCTATATATATATATATATACACATATATATATAAACCATATCCACAAGGTCGGCTTACGTTGCTCATTGTTCTGTATGTTAAAAGTTATCCGAGAGCTAAAGACTGCCTTGTTTACACACCTGTCTTGTTGGAGGTATATGCTCGTGCGCGAACCTCTTTTGAGACTCAATAGTTTGCCTAAAACTTTCTTTACGAGTCCATTTTTTTGGCCAGTATAATGTTTCTTTACTAAAATAATGTACAATCTTGATTGTTTTGCTCTAGTTAATTTTCTTAACAGGCTTTGACTATATATAGATCTCAATCCACCTCTATAAGAAATGAATTATCCGTTCTTTTCTGATATGGATATTTTTCACCAGTCAAAATCTGCCGAATTCCCTCCTCCAGTATCTAGTTCGACGACTCATCAGTATTATACAAATGGTGGTTCCATGTCACCAAACTCCTCCACGAACTATCTAAAGGAAGATGCTTTGTGCATTGTGCCATACAGTGATATTTACAGTTCATTAGAAAATATGGGTTCCTTTTTTGAATCGCAAACATTAGGTTCTCAACATCAAAATAGCTCATCCTGCGAACAAAAATTGGAAGAAATTCGATCACAAACAACCATAGTTCACAAGAAAACTTCTACCAGACACAATATTCAGAAATCTCGCCCTATTCCAGTCGTGATGAAGAAGCAGCGCCTCGCAGCCAACGCCCGTGAACGAAGCCGAATGCACAGTCTCAACATTGCTTTCGACCGACTGCGGGAAGTGGTCCCTTCAATTGGAAGCGATAGAAAACTGTCCAAATACGAGACACTGCAGATGGCTCAAAGTTATATCTCAGCTTTAGTAGGAATTCTGGAGAAAGACTAAATGATTTTGTAAAGATAACTTGATAACGTAAAGGATAGTTATTAGTTGCATTATAGGTTTATAGAAGAGTTGAGAAAAGTATTTTTAATTGCAGATCTGGATTTCCTCGTATAGTCGATATTTTAACATAAAAATACAATAAGCTTTTATCCAAACATAATCTAGTATATTTCTTCAGTATACAATGCAATGTTCCTTACCAGTGTCAGACACCTTTGCATTCAAAGGTACTTTAGCTATAAAGCACGATAATTATCAGGGGCCTTATGACTTAGTCTAAAAGTGTAATGTCACAAGTATTTTATATATAAAACAAAGTGATATTTTGTACTGCTATTTGTTGTGACATACCGAGAAAGTAATAATAAAAGTACATGAGTAAGGTCCTTCACACGAGCCCCCTAGTAGCACAGCGGTATGTCTACGGACTTACAACGCTAGAAACCGGGTTTCGATACCCGTGGTGGGCAGAGCACAGATAGCCCTTGAGTAGCTTTGTGCATAATTAAAAACAAACAAACAAATCCTTCACATGAAAAATAGGATTATTAATACAATCCGTTAATGCATCATTGCCGGGTATGCTTTATTATTTCTCAATCCGTTTATTGCGTTATTTTAGGGTTATCATGTTTGACAGAGCTGACGGATTAAAATTTATAGCTAACAAAAAACTAAAAATTATGCGAAAAGCTTGTTCTTTTATTTGTTTTGTAAATAGAAACTATACATCTAGATTAGCTTAGTACGTTTAATCCGCTTTATATGATTGACATTTCTTTAAAGATGTTAGAAATGCAATTTGTAAAAGTCTTATAGATAACTGACTAAAATTATTGGATGTTAAGCATAATACACGTTCATTTAAAAAACAAAATGTTCACTCACGGTATTTTTGACGATACAGAGTTCTGTCTACATATAAGCACTTTAATGACTTTAGGCAAAAAGTAGTAATGAATATTTTATTTAAAATTTCTAAAATTATATATCGTACTACTGTTGTTATATCTTTTATTCGCACAAATGCAGTCGGACTAGTCAAAATGATGGCAGCTTTAAACAACTTGGTGCAGATCGATCTTATTCCTAGCTATCGGTGTGTCAAGTTTTGAATCACTTAACAATTTTGCTGTACATAATATAAAATGAGACAGGTGGCTTTACGTGTGACAATGTGTACATGAAATATACTTTGAAAATAAACTATTTCTTTTCCTTTTTGCATTTATAGTTCATGTTTAGTTTTTGAATAAAAACATTTATGACCTGTATCTTCTGTGAAAAATGAAAACTTATTAGATCTCATCTCTTTAAATTTTAAAAACTGAAAATAAATCATCATCATACGTAACTGCATTAATTAACGCCATTTGTTTTTCGTTCACTAAAACATTATTCATACACAAAAACATTGTATAAAGTATATCTTATCTTAAAAAATATGAGAAAAGCAGTAATTATTGGCAGTGTTGTGTCGATATATAAAGCAAATATAATTTCAAAATATGATTACCTACGTACAATAGGAATATCTTACCTTCATCTTTCTTCTTGGTTGGTCATATTTTATGTTAGACATGTTAAATTAATTGTATAAAAACTTAGCTCATTAGATGGCATGAATATTAGTTTATGAGTCAACAGAGTAATTTATACATGGATATATTTTATGAAGTTACATTAATCTTTTTTCACAAATATAATTAGTAAAACAAAATTATGACTTATGCATGAATATACGTTATCAAACACCAGACATTATCAAATATATAAGGATATGTGCCAGGAAATCATATTATGGCTTAAGCATAGACGTGCGTACGAAACTACGTTACAGAATACGTGTACATTTAACTTAAGTTTTGAAACAATATAAAAGTTGACAGCTACCACAGCTAGCCAGTAAGGATACGATGCTGCGAAGTAAGGAGTTATTGAACAGTCAAAGACAACTGGTTATAGTTATTGAGGCATTTCAGCTCACCTGTTCGTGCTCAAACTCATTGTGGATAATGGGCTGAGAAAGCTCAATATACGCTTTGATTTGAATTATCAGATTGGTCACCCAAGTTAATCACTGTCGTCCAAGTAAACTTCGAAACGTGTTGCAAAATGAAATAATTCATCTGGAATCAAATCATATATCCAGGGCTTTAAGGAGAGTACAGGACTGCCGATCATCTCATTCACTGGACACAAGGAACTCTATGCTACTGAATATCATAGACTAACTACAGCTTTAGAGTCTCTCATCACAGCTAAAAATTCAAACCAGAAGATTTGATAGTACAGTATTGACCAAAATGTTTACATACTATTCTATATTGATGTTATTATCTACATGCATGGAGTAGTTATTGAGTAGCTGTCCGAGTAGTAACAGAGAACGTAGTATATGATAAAACAATCATGTACGAGTTGCTATTCTGGTCTGTATAATTTGTTTTGAGCATTTGTTCGTCAAAACACACATTCAAACCTGTTTTGTATAAAAAGGTGTACTTTTGGTATAACTTTTTTTTTTCGAAACAGATCGTCGCTTTGTTCAGAGAATTTCTCTTTACTTGGTATAGAGTCATGCCTTCTCACGTATCAGAAATTATAGGGCGTCAAATTGTTCGACTGTCCAGAAATGGTATGAAGCAAACGCACATTGCCAGAACAGTAGGGTACCAGCAGTGTAATGTATCCATGATCCTGAAACGTTGTTCCAGGAAAGACTACTGCCCGAGATTACTGTGTTCTGATCAGATTGACACGTCAAGGTCGAAAGATGTCTTGCAACACTTTACGACAGAAATGACATGAACACATTCATTCTATGGTATCCAGAAGAACAGTGAATAGGAGACTGACCAAACAAGGTTATTGTGCAAGAAGGACTATCTACAAACTGATGATAACAAGAATTCATCGCCGTCACCGTATTACTTTGGAAAGACAGCATGCCAACTTGCAGTTAGGACACTGGCGACCTGTCATATTTTCAGATGAGGCCTGATTCCGGCTTGCTTGTTAAAACTGACGGTAAGATTCGTGTTCGTCTTGTGCCTGGAGAACAGATGAGGGAAGACTGTCTTTCCCAAAGGGAACACATATTAAATGTTACAGTACATGTTTAGGCAGCTAGTCTTCAGCTACTAGCTGAGTTGCAGCGCCTTCTAGTGAAAATTTGGGATGAAATCAAGAAGGATTACATCAATAACCTTATCGACAGCATGCTACGTCGCCTTGCAGTGGTTATTAGAGTAAGAGGAGGACCAACCAAGTACTGAATGTTTAATATGAACTGATACAAAGTTACAGACGCTATTTATAATAATTTGATGTTATAGTTTGTCACTATATATGTTTTGCTAAGGTTTTGTTGTGATAGGTGAAATGCTGAATTACACATCTTTCTACAGGTGTCTGATAGAATTGTTTGCTGTTTTAATAAATCGTTCATGGTGTTATAGAACCTATTTCATTATACAAATTACATATGTAGATGTTCAATATAATATGAATTTCTTAGTTTAACATCGCTAAGTGTATTTGTATTCCATCTTGATAATAGTTATCTTATGTGTTACAAAATATGCATTTTGGTCAAGAATGTACCAGCAGAAGAATCGGAAGGAAAAATATGGAGAACGATCAAGTAAACTGATGAATCTCACTACTTTACCACAACTTGGAAAACATTCTTCATATTACTGTGTCATCTCAGAGAAAGTGGTAGGAGATATTATTATGATATGGTCCATTATCGTTGTTTTGGACATGGTTTGCTGGAAACTAAAAATTAATCGTCTTAGGCCTTCTATAACATTCTAAGAACTGCTTTAAGACGCTTTTTAAGCTACTCAAATTACCTGACTGCCATTTTCCGCATCTTTCACAGGCAAGGAATTTACTAGTATTTATTACGTCGTCTTGGGTTGACCTCTGGCTAGCTGGGCGCTGTGTTTTCTTGGGGCAATCCAACTTTTGCATTTCCCGAAATATCTTGCAAACGCTCTACCATCTGAATCAAAGTGTTAGTTTTCTAATAACTGTTAGAAATATATCTTTCAAACTACCTGGATATCACAGAAGGATGAATGGTTTGTATGCTTGTGTTTGGATGTCGCTTAAAGCTACACAAGGGGTATCTAAGCTAGCCGTCCCTAATTTAGCAGTGAAAAATTAGAGGAAGGCATCTAGTCTTCACCACCCATCGCCAACTCTTGGGAAACTCTTTTACCAACGAATAGTGGGATTGACCGTCAGATTATAACGCCCCCACGGCTGAAAGGGCGATCATGTTTAGTGGGAAGGGGATTCGAACCTGCGACCTGTATAAAACGAGTCGAGCGCCGTAACTACCTGGTCATGCCAGGCACAGAAGGACGCTATTCTTTAACTCTGACAACGCATCTTGCCATAGAGTGTGCAATACCTAACAGTGGTTTCAGACAACAAAAGGTCATAATCTGCCTTATCCGCTCTAGGACGTATTTGGAGCGCCACCATAGTGTGTATAGAACTGCTTTGCATAAAAGAATGCGAAGTGTCCGTCTATTCCACCAAGTCTGTAGCAGTTGTTGGGAACAAGTGCTAGTAGCAGATGTGACTACAGTTCTATTAAAATAGAATTCCATCGTATAAATAACATACACATCCTTCTCAAAGTGTGTTGTGTAAGTACTATTGGTGACATAATTTATGTTTGTGTGATCTCATACAATACAAAGTATAACTAAACACAAGTTTTTAAGTACAGTAAGATATATACATCAATATATTCGCTTTAAAAATTATCATGATTTATCAATGGATACATATGTACTTACATGAACATAAGTTATTAAGAATATTTAAGAATTACACAGACATGGTAAAGAGGTATGATTTGTGTACGAATTAACGTTATGCAAAAAACAACAACAAAAATCGCTTTTATATAAAATAATGTCACGTTGGCCAACTCGTATTGCAATAAACCAGACAACATGACATGAATGGTTATAAAA